AAGAATTTACTTTAGAAAGGCCTCTCTGAGGAGTTGAGATTTTAGACGAATACTTAAAAGAGTGAGATGGAGCTAACGGGAAAGGATTTGTTTATTTTCAAGGATCTTTTTTAAAAAAGATCTAATTCGTGAGCAAGGGGAGGGTGACATGGGAAGAAGCAGGGAAGAGAAATATGACTTGTAGGTCAAGGAGTTTGGGTTTAATCCCAAGTGTAGCCACAGTAAAAAATCATTAGCCAGGTTGCTAATGTCATATAATCCATTAAGAAGTACTTATCTAGCCTTTAATTTATGCCAGACTTCAGTCTGGTTTACTGAGGAGGATTAAAAAATAAGTCAAATATATAATCCTGCTCTGATTTTGATGATAACCTAGCCTGAGAGGCAAGGCTGATTGAGGAGGTTTGAGTCTCAGGTAGGAGGCAGTGGGGGCCCACGCTGATCATATGCCCAATGACCTTGGGCCTGGGTATCAGGCAGATCCAAGAGCCATAGAGCCAAGGAGGTTTGTTAAACTGCTCACAAGGGGCTGAGTGAGAGCCTGTCATGTATCAGAGGGGGGCTGTCATATAACACAGCACTCACTGTGTACCAGAAGGTTCTAAGCCTTTTTAAATATCTGCTCAGTTTAATCTTCATAGTAACCCTGTGAGGTAAGAATTATTATTAACCCCATTGCACAGATGAGGAAACTGAAGCACAGAAATGTAAAATGACTTGCCCAAGGCCACACAACTGGTAAGGGTAAAACCAAGATCAAGTGCAGAGCAGTCTGGTGCCAAGTCTGCTTTTACCCCCCATGCAATGATGTCTCTAGGCTGTCAGCCTTGACAGGTAGAGAGGACAGTGGCTGGACACAGGATTGTGAAGGGGGTCATAGAGAAAGTTCTGGTTAAAAAAAAAAAAAGTGATTAGGTATGCTATGGGCCATGTTGAGTTGGCAGTGAAGGCAGGGTATACAAAAGGGAGTATTGTCAGTTTGGGCCTAGGGCTCTGCAAAGAGGATCTTGGCTGCTCTGTATATTTCTCAGCACTGGCTTTTTGAGGAATAGGCAAGTTTGGATCAGTGAAAATTGCTTTGAATGCTTACTGGTGCCATCTTTCCTTCACTTTTGCTTAGGATGTTAATTGTTCTAAGCTCTCTTTTCTTATGATTGGCTCCATTCTCTAATGTACTATTAAATAGTTTAGGATTAAAACAAATTGTATGAAAACTCATATTAGTAAGTAATAGAAAAAATGCAAGACATTTGCATATTTACATGGAAAGCATTTTATATGATAAAGATTTTACTTGGGATAGATTTTATGATATTTTATGCATAATTTCTACTTTGAGGGAGGAAATGGTATTGTCACTTTCACTAATATTTAACTCACATATGTCTCTACATCATTCCTTATCATGTTCAGATTGATCCAAATGAAGAGTGAATGTGAGTTTACTCATATTCTTGATGTAGCATGGTGTAAAAGAAAAATGACCTAATTATCATTGAGTTCACTTTGGAAAGCAAAAGTTCTTTTGAAATTGGAAGTTGGATTAAGCAATTTTGTAAGACTTCGGTTTTTGATATTTCTCTGATATCAGGAAACAGTGACTATTCTTTGTCTTACCAAAGACAGCTTATTAGACTTGCAAAGGCATCCCTCATTGGACCTCCTCAGGGTCATGCCCTCCCTCCATGGTCACTGCTTTTGTTATAGACTCCCTTTAACAATTGAAATATATTCCTGAAGTTATGTGAATTCCATAATTTCAGGGATATATTTAAAGAAACATTCTGCATTGAAAGTGATTTATCATGATATATTAATTAGGGTCTCATCAGAGAGAGAAATGACACAGTAATTTGAACAGAGAAAATTTAGTAAAAGAATTATTAACTATCACAAAGAATTTGGATATGGGGAATTGATAGTAAGAACTAAAGAAAACCCTAGGGGCCAGCCCTGTGTCCTAGTGGTTAAGTTCAGCATGCTTCGCTTCAGCAGCCCAGGTTCCCGGGTTCAGATCTGGGGTACAGACTTGCGCCACTCATCAGCCGTGCTGTGGCAGTGACCCACATACAAAAGTAGAGGAAGATTGGCACAGATGTTAGTTCAGGGCAAATCTTCCTCAGCAAAAAAAAGAAAAGAAAAGAAAAGAAAACTCTAAAGAATATAAGAATAGCAGATTTAAGGAGCCATCACTACCCATGAAGCTGAGATAGCCTGCCCACGGAAGAGATCCCCCACAGCTAAGATCTTGACCTTGCTGGAGAGGTCATAGCTGTGGTCACTAAATGGTTGAGGAGCTGCTGTGGTGTGGTGTGGTGTGGTGGAACTTGCTAGAAATATGCCCTCTAGGGTACTAGGGAAAGCTGTTCACAGGGAGGTGTCTCACTGGAGGCACTCTGTTACAAAACCACACAGAGTGTGCCAAGGCAAGCTGCTGCCTGCTGGGTGCTGCTGGCTGTCATGCACTGCAGGAGCCTGGTGCTGGGGAAGACACGCACACTGCTGCACCAGAGCACACCAGAACCAAGAAGAAAAAAACCCCTTTCTTCTGCTAGGTCTTTCCAGTACCTTTTATCCACAAAGGTTAACATCGCATCAGCTGTTGAAGGAAAAATATTTGAAGAGCACAGATCCATTTTCACAGAGCAGGCAGTGAAGGGTAACTTTGGAACTAAGCAACAATACATTGGTAAGTGGCACACATGGGAATCCCTATCTATCCACTGCGAGGTTTTGACCAAGGGCTTTCAAAAGCTGTTGTCCTGAACTTATTACAAAATCAATTTATTGTTTTGAATATGTAATTTATTTGTCTATGATAACTCGAAAAGAAATGGACTCACTCGAACCACTTCATATGCCACATTTGTGCTTCCCCAGTTCTTTGAAACAAAATAATCTAATTATTTTTGAAGTATTTTATAATTAATCATGATGGAAACTATTGTTCACAAAACCAAGTGTCCAACATTTTGTTAGAATGGGAGATTTTTAGTTTGGAGTGAAACTTAGCTTATGTGTTACTTTAAATATTACAGCAAATTAGTTTTCAGATGTTTCTTGCCTCTGCACAACCATTAGATTTTAAGTAGGCTCCGGGGGGACCAGGACTGGATCATTCTTGTTGAGTATAAATTGCCAGCGTCTGGCACAATGAATGACACATAGTTGATGCTAAGTTAATTAGTTATCTGTGCATGAATGAATATGGATTACAATTGTCCAAATTTATAGGTAAACTATTTTCATCACTGAAAAATGCAAGAAATACAAGAAACAGTTGTGTTTATATAAGACATTAGGTATAGAATAATATATATGAATATCTAAAATGTATAAGTCATGTATCATATGTATTAAAGTACAATAAATTCTTCCCCATGAATTCCCAAAATCTTTTAAAAATACAGTTTGAGGAGCCACAGAAAACCTGTGAGAAGGAAATATCCATGGTGATACCATATTCAAAGAGAGATTCCTCTAAAAGACTGAATTTTACTAAGAGTCACAGTTACAAGTTCTGGAATGCAGTCGTTTTTAGGAAGTAGAAGAGAAACTTCTCTCATTGTCATCCTTGAGAGAAGAGGTTTTCTTGTAGCTGGCAGTTTCATTTGTTGAAAATATGTCAATCTTGATGGAAAAGGAAAGCTTAGAGAAATAACATGTTTATAAGTTTATATGTTAAATATGTTAATTTATGAATGTAGAAATGTTATAATGAAAAAATATCACTGTTAAGAGACTAGAGACTAAATTTCTGCCCAATATTTTAGCACAGTAGCCGTTACTGATTCAGAATCCAAAATACCAACTAATGGTAGTTTAGTTGCTGTAAAGGAAAGATATGGGAGAGAGAAGGAGAAATGAGAAAGGATTAGGTAGGATCATGATCTTCAAATCTATCTACCTATCTAGAGACATGGTGGTATAGAATTATTTCTGTTTTCTTATTGTAATTACTTTAAATTGGTATTTTCTTAATGCTATCAATAATAATTATCTTTTTCCTTCTCAACAAACAGTATGATTATTTCTTTCTCGTTAGTAGGAAAGGAATAATATGAGATGAAATCTGTATTTAGAGTGTATGTCAAGTTAATTTCCTTAGCATCTGTACTTAGTAGGAGATAGGTTACATATTTAATATAGTATGAATAATGCAAATGAACTCATAACCTCTATAACAGACAGAGGTCATGAATAATTCTCATTTATTAAGATTTCACTGAGCATATGGCACTGTACTTTATAAAAACACCAACTCTTTGTGAATTGTTTTCTGATACTTTTGCTCTATTTTGTACTTGTTCCTTGTAACTTGGAATTGAACTTACCGGCACCTTGAAATTCTGAGACTGGAAGCGTGGCAGAGAAGAGGGCAAAGAATTTTTTTTTCTTCTAATAATGTAGGAAATAAAACCAAAGGATATAAAAGCAGCAATACCAACAATAACAACAACAACAGCAAAACCCTGCAGTGGCCTTTCTTTCTGAAGCTATGAGGACACTTGGCGGAGGGAGGCAGTAATGCAAAACATCTGTGTTCTGACTTGCCCTATTTACTTAAATTATATATTACCAATAAAAACATTTTCAGCTTGGGAACCCAAGCAAAGCACTGCGGATTCTCTGTTGTTTGTGATTTGGAACACTAGGGGACAGCACTAAAATATTCCATAGTCATTTGTTATTGATCACTTGCATACTGTATAATAAGTAAGAGATTTTACTGTTAAAGACTATTGCATGTCCTGTTGATTTCAGTGGATGAAAAAGCACAAAGAAGAAGATGAGCTTTTTCAAATCTATAATTTCAGCCTTTGTAAGATGATGATTTGAAGAATTTAGAGAAAGCTCCCAGGCTGTTTTTTGGTTGCGAGAAGATAGTAAGGCATGATAACTTAAAGAATTGTGATTTTCTGTTAAAAGTGTTTTGTTCTTTTTACTCTTTGGGGAGTAAATATTTTGCATAAGTTTTTATTTCTATTCTTGTTTTCCAGGCACTTTGGAAAGACATGAAATGGGAGAAAGAGCAAGAATTATTCTTAATTGTTGTGATGATTCGCAGCTTCTAAAGCCTGAATCTGTACTTCCAGTTGCCTCAGAGACACATAAGCACAAAAGTATAGAACAGAAATCCTCCAGCTCCTGCCAGTTTGGGCCAATACCTTGCCCTGGTCTGCATGTGGAGTCTTCATGTAAGGTAAGTTCAAATCAAGCTGCTGCTCACAAAGAACACTGTCAACCCCAAGTAAGAAGTAATGTGCCTGCACAAATAGGTGGCAATTAAATATCAGCACAAAAACAAGAACACAGAGATGATCGCATCTACCATCCATATCTACCAAGGGATCTTGGGTGAATCAAGATAACTTTCTGAGTGATTATTATGCTTGGTATAGGATTCTTTTTGAGAAGATAGGTTCTGGCTTATCAAAATTGAGCCAATTTTATGTTAATTCTTGAATTCTAGATGGAGAGGGGGGGAAAAAGCCTATATTCTGTAGTCTGGATCCATTTTTTTTTTCAATTGAGATTAGATGACCTCTTTTTAAAATGCTGATTGCAAATAAACCAAAAAGGTATCAGAAAAACTGGATCACTGTATGGACAATTCTTTTGATACACTCAGCATCTCTAGGATCACCAGCTTCTTAGGATTCCAAGCCTCAATTAATACACAGTGATGGAGTTTGCATTTATTTTCATAAGCCAAATCAACCAGCTTCATAGAAATTTGGACAAGCTTTATTATTTTTCAGTTCTAAACATGATATAGTAATTTAATCTGATTTTTTTAAGGGACTCTTCTATCTTTTTGTCATCTACACCTCCAAGTTATCCCCTGACCATTTTGTTGTGACTATGCCATTTATATGCATATATCTGATGTAGTATTTTTTCACGTAAACATGTTTTCATAATATTATCTAATTCTTTTTAGTGGCTGCATCATGTTCTATACTGTGTGTATGCTATTACTGATATGAATTATTTTCCTATGGCATTATATATGGATTGTTTTTTATGTTTCATTTTTATGAATAACACATCTATGAACCTAAAGCTTTTTTCATATTCAGTATTATTTAATAGGATATATTTCCAGAAGTGGGATTTCTAAGTATTCATTCATTGAGCTCTGAGAGTCTAATGCAGTCATCTCTTTCAGCCCATCAGGGTACTGTGTCCCTTAGTCAAGGCTGATATACATTGAAAAATTTCTAAATTTTGGATTTCTCTTTTTAAGACTCCATTTAGGCCACTACTTTTCTTTATACTTTCCTCCTTCAGATGTTACAACCAGTGATTAGGCTACAGCTTTCTTTTTCTTTTCTCATTTAGTCAAATTGTTTTTAGATTTTCCAAATCTATTTTTCATGTTCTTAACTTGAAAGAGGTCGTGTTTTATAAGGACAGTTATATCAACATGATGAAACTTGAACATTCACAACTGAAGTTGAAAGTCATAAGGTCTTAATCTCCTAACGTGGGAAATTGAACCACACATATTCTGTGTTAAAAGGTTGGGGTAAATAAAGCCCAGTGAGTGAGCCCAGATGACTGCCAAGCAGTCCCACCTTAATGTGGTTTTGTTGCTCTCTATTCATAATAAGAGTGTGCATCTTGTAGTGGAAATTATGTGCTGGAACAGTAGATGAGAACTTGGAAATGTCTCTTGACTTGTTAATTTCAGATGTCTAGGGTCTGCAGGAGCAAATCTCATTCAAGCTCCTATTTTACTAGTTCGATTCCCAGAAGGTAAACTGATTGCTATTTCTTTCAGTTTCTTAGAGGACCTCAAAGCTACCCTTTAGGTAGTGATAATAGTATATATAGATTTCATTTTCTTTATATAATTTTGTTTCTTTCTTGACTCCAGGAAGCAATAAAATGCCAGGGTCTTGTTTTCCTACTCTTACGCTGATTCCAACTTTATTTCTTAGCTGCTGCCCTTTACCTTAGATGACTACAATTTCCAACATTCACTCTCTACAGAGACAGAGAATTGAATTAGACAGGACTATCACCTCCTTTGTTCTATATACTATGCTTCTGTTATTATTGGGCTTACTGTTAACTAGAGCTATTTTTATTTATGCTTCTCCAAAGTTATATATTCTCTAATTATGTACTGCATATCTTCATTTCATCCTCTTAGATATAAGCTGTTGAGACTATCTTCTTTATTTGCAAATTTGATAAGCATGAAATTTCCAGTGCTTATAAATTCTCCATTCTTCTTATTGGTTAATATAGTAAAATTCTTCTTGAGTTTTCATAAGAAAAAAATCAGTTTTAACGAAGAGGATTTAAATCACACTCATTTTAGAGATGCGAAAAATGTGGGACAGAAAGCCTATGAAATTTAGAACTGTCTAAGGTTACTTTGTGTTTCAGGACTTTTTAATGTGTTTTTTAGTGAGACACAAGTGAAATATTTTTGAATGGTAGAGTGAACTGTTTAAAGGGAAGAGTCGCTTGTGAGATCTGCACTGTGAGCTCTTTGTGTTTGGCAATATTTGGAAATAATTAGAATGCGGTATCACTTTCTCTTCTTGCATTTGAGGAGTGCGTATAGATTTGGGAAAAGGTTTTAAAGAAATCAACAAATACAATAAAACATTTTGAAAATGGGTCTAATTTGAAATGCTAGAAGTGTTGAATTTGTACAGCTAGACAAAGAAAAACTTTGGGGTAGGAGAGGGCAAGAGTCTTCGAAGATTTAAAGGAATACAGTATCATATTAGTGATGGGGAACTGTCTTTCTCAGATTCTGCTGAGGATAAAACAAGACAGAAACTGTATAAATTGCAGTGGGAGGAATTGAGCTTCAAAGTAGGAAATAAACAGCCTTGCTAAAATCATGTCTATGGCAGAATCTTTGTAGCTTCCTCATATTTTAAGGAGAGAAGGCCTATTTTATCTGTTGGTTGGTTTTAGATTCTTTTTCTTCATTTCTTGTCTGTAAAATGAGTAAAAGGATAAACAGGATTATTTTAACTGGCACAATTTAGACTTGTGTTGTCCTGGGAATGCCTTTTTTTAAAAACTGATTTTCTGTAGAATGGATCCCCAAAAGCAACCCCTGGTTGCTTATTTAGAGCTGCACTATTTAATATGGTAGCCATTAACAATATATGGCTATTGAGCACTTGACATTTGACTAACACCACATATTAAAATGATATTTTGGATATATAGGGTTAAATAAAATATATTATTAAAATAAATTTCACCTGTTTTTTAAAAATTTTTTTGTATGGCTACTAGGCAATTTAAAACTATGTGTGGTTCACGTTGTATTAAACAGTGTTGAACTAGACCAGGAATAAGCAAACGTTTTTGTAAAGAACTGGACAGTAAATATTTTAGGCTTTGCAGGGCAGATTTTTGCTGTTGTAACTATTCAACTCTGCTGTTGGAACATGGAAGCCACCATAGATAATTCTTACAGAAAGGAGTGTGGTTGTGTTCCAGTAAAACTTTATTTACAAAAACAGGCAGTGGACCATATTTGATGCTCGCTGGACATAGTTTGCCCATTTCTGATCTAGACAGTCCTCTCTAGACTTGGAGATCATGAGGTACTAGGAAGAACTGGCAAAATAGCCAACACTTACTTTTTCCCTAGATATCTGAATTTTTAATAAGGCAACTTATCCCAACTTCTGCACTATGTGGAACGTAATCCAAAAGACCTATATCAAGTCTGTTCCCTGACAGAAATCATGAAATTCCTATGATGATTGGAAATTTGCCCTTTGTAGAAAACAAATGTGCACATTACAGCTCTTAATCCAAGCAAGATTTTTTTAATGGAATTTTCTTTAAATAATGCACTTATACATGCATCTTTATCTAAACATATAAAATTGATTATAAATAAAGATGCATTTACATTTATTTACATTCCAGTTGAGCTTTCTAGAAATATGTTTGTATTTTTTTTAACCTTTAGTTGACCTTAAGGTAATGTTCATTTGGTGCCATTTGCTGAAAAATCTTATTAGAGCTTTATCCTGCTACCTCTCATAAAACACAGATGGTGCACTGGTAAGGCCACCAATAGAAAACTGTACCACACTACTATTTATTACTTTATCAGAATGAAACGTTAGTTCTTTCGTATTTTATGACACAAAAACTTAACCAAAGTAGAACTAGACTAGTTTCTAAATGGTAAGATTTCAAGATGTCACCTGAAAATCTGCATGTATAAATATAAAATAATAATTCATTGTGGCAATACTACATGTTACAAATTAACTGTTTTTATTGAAGTGTCTATATTTTATTACCAAAATTGAATCACTATAGAAAAGGACAAATAATATCTATTTGAAAACAATTAATTGTATTATGTAGGAGTAAATCCTCAATATAGAATGATAATTTTCACTTTTTTGATCAGTAGTTAATTTTTGATATATTCTTTTAAAATTAATAAAGAGCATATAACTGTTTCTAATATAGAAAATATTTTGCATCGATTTTGTGTAATATAAGAAAATAGATTTTTATCATTAGACAAACAAGCACTTTATGAAAATATAGGAATTGTTCTCTGTAAACATTAGATTAAGATTTTTAAGTATTTTAATTTAGTGAATCCCAACGTAAAACTTGAGTGCCTAAATGATAGCACCCTTCCTAGTAAGATAGAATAGAGAAATATACAATGGCTGAGAAATATACAAGGAAATTTTTTTTTGAACACATGTGAACTGATGCAAATTTTTGACAGAGTATAAGCATTTTATATATAATTTGCACTACCTTAAGTAATAATTTCTGTAATACTTAGTACTTTTTTTATAGCTGTGTTATGAAAGATGTCACTTTTCTCACTTTGTGGCATGAGTTTAAACTTTTTTTGATAAAAAATTACCTCAAATGGTGAGGAAAACTATGAAAAGCATATCACAGCTTTGTTTCAAAACTAATTTAGGAGGTCTCAGAGTCACAATGAAAAGTAGGAGACGCACCATTAAATGACTCCAGCTGTCTGCCTTGCACACAGAAGCAACCCTGAATTTCCTCACAGCACTTCAAAGCTTTGCTTGTATCTAAACACTCGTTGGCCATGTAAATCAGAGGCACAGAAGGAGAATGCTCCTATTTCATGGTGCGCGGCTGGTTTAAGTCCCGCATTGTGCTCCACGTGCCAGTGGGGAGTGCCAGGAACAGAAGGGCACTGTT